GTTAAAGTCCACGTACGAAACTACAGCACTCCATGAAAGACATAACTGCAATACAACACGTTAAAGTCAGTACGAAACTAACAGCACTCCACGAAAGACATAACTGCAATACAACACGTTAAAGTCAGTACGAAACTAACAGCACCAGGCACATCGCCATATGCAACACTCCATGAAAGACATAGCTGCAATACAACACGTTAAAGTCAGTACGAAACTAACAACACCAAGAACATCGCCATATGCAACACTCCATGAAAGACATAACTGCAATACAACACGTTAAAGTCAGTGCGAAACTAACAGCACCAGGCACATCGCCATGAGTATCACTCAATAAAAGACTTTTAAGAGGCGGAGCTAGAACCAAAGGAGTGCCATTCCAAAAAACAAAAACAAAAAACAACAAAAGTCGGACAGGGACAGCAGACGATGCGTGTCATAAGCTCAACTCGTCTCACAGAGTCACTGCGCCGCTCACCTTGAACAAGCCTGCCACCTGTTACGCAGAAGAGATAGGGATTGCCCAGTTGTGAGGGAATCAAGTGAGAGGAAGAAGGCTAATGACATGTATATCTCTTTATGGGATGAGGCGAGGAGAGTGTTTAGTGGCTTCAAAGGAGTTCCCACGCGCACTTTAACCTGTAAACTCTGAGATCCCAAAGCCCAAAACTCTAAAAACCCTGACACGCAATCATATTGGCTCGTACAAGTCGGAGATTGACTGGCCCGTCACATTTTGAATCGCAAAAAAAAACTTCGTTTTAGAGTTTAGAGCGCTGAGAGGTGAGGTCACGTGTGGGTACACGGAATATAGACACGCTCGCTAGGGATCGGTCCACGGTATCCGAGCATAATACCACGCTCGATTCTATTTTTAGGTCGCTGTCATGGAGTCGGTCTATTTTTAGATACGTGTGGATAGAGTCGACACCTAGGTGATACGTATTTTAACCGGCGTTGAATACAAGGAAGCCTTTATTAACGTACTTCGTATTTTATGTGTAACCAAGATCAACCAACACAATTTATGGTACAAAAGTAACTGAGGATGTATATTTTTTAAATTCTTTGGCTACCTATTATACATATTTCAGTTTTGCACATACATGAGCATGAAAAACAAAATTAACTTTAACATTCTAAAAATAAACTTTAAACGCCATTAATAAAGAGTATTTACAATCACTACATCCAAATCAATCAATTCGCAAAGACGTACATACATACATACATACATACATACATACATACATACATACTTACATACACACACACACACACATATATATATATATTAATAAAATGTATGTATACACACACACACACATAGACATACTTATATATATATCATACATGCAGTAACTCTAGCTATTTACCTGCATTCCATTTAAAATAGCAGCGCGAGCTGCTGCGTCCATCGCCGCCAAACGATCGATACAAAGGAATTGCAAGAGCCGGCGCTGCAGAACACAAGTTTGGATATATTGACAAAACAGGTTTAATGAAACAAATGACTCGAACTAAGGTTGGTTTGCGCAGAGGTACAAGCAGGAAAGAGTGCCGGCATGTATTGATATAAAGCAGATAGCAATGGTTTGGTACCTTGTGGTGGGTGAATTTTCCCCAGCCATTGGGCCGATCTCGCACATTTGACACCAACATCCCCACATTGATAGTCGTCACAATCAGACTCAATTCGGCATTTGACAGATTTTGGAACAATTCCAAAATATCCTCCTCAGCTTTCACGAGCACGTTGCTCGAGATAACCCGATTCAGATCCGGCGCAACGCCCAGTCGAAGCTTGTCCAGCAGCAACCCAATATCTTTCATGACCTCCTTTGTAGCTGTCGGCGTGTAAATACGAGCGTGTGAGTACATGCGGGTATTTATATCTTGATACCGTGGAATTGGGTTGGTGTGACTAAAACGCTTATTCCTACGAGTCAGTCCTGTTGTATCTAATGTGGGCACCTCAACCGAATCACATTCAGAAAGAAGAATTTGTGGGACCCCAATGCCATAAAATGAATGTTTGTGCCGAAAATAAGTTCAGAAGCGATACAGCAAGAGAAGCGATACAGAAAGATATATTCGTCGCAATCTACGATGGGCAAACCAAAAACATAAAAGCAAAACAAATTTATTATCAGGGATATGTATATACGTTTTCGAAAATGCAATATATAGCTGCATGGTGTAATGGTTAGCACGTTCGCCTCTGATTCAGAGTGTGACAGCGGGAGATTGCGGTTCGATTCCGCGTGCGGCAAAATTTTTCTGTCAGACAGAATGATCATTCGTGGAAAGCACTTTGTATTGTGATTTAATATTATGACATTAAGGGAAAAGGAACATGAGTGGAAAACACTTATTTGAGCATATTATGCTGTTCGGAGTATATATAGTGAGGAATTTTCGTTTCAATATCTGCATGGTGTAATGGTTAGCACGTTCGCCTCTGATAATCAGTGTGTGACAGCGGGAGATTGCGGTTCGATTCCGCGTGCGGCAAATTTTGCCAGGGCCAATTTTATATACAATATTGAATCGCGAAATGCATCATATACTTGTGGCGTATTTTTCATTGTGATTCTTTTGCTAAGATATTAGAGGATAACGAGAAAGGGTTGTCGAGATGAATTTGACCATATTGTATTTTTGATATATTTATACTGTTGGATCTCCATTTCAATATCTGCATGGTGTAATGGTTAGCACGTTCGCCTCTGAAATTCAGTGTGTGACAGCGGGAGATTGCGGTTCGATTCCGCGTGCGGCAAAATTTTTCTTTTCAAATATATATATTTTCTATGAAACGATTATTTTACAAAGTTTTGGAAGTATTGAAAGGGCGCAGCCGTGGTATCAAAATACACTAGCTAATATTGAGGGCAATTCTGTTTCCAATGAATGTGGGACTCTAGGGCACTAGGCCTGTGGATCAGGTGTCACTTGATGTGACACCCGGTGTGACACTTGGTCTGACCATGTGGTCTACAAATAAAGGTTATACTATTGGTCAAACATGTGGTCTATAAATAAAGGCTATACTATTGGTCAAACATATGGTCCCCATCGTGCTGGTAGAAACCCCAGCTGTGAACGATAGTTTTTACTGTCCACTGAGACGTAAGGGGTGTGAAAAACGGCTAAGTAAAGTGATTGAATCAACTAAAAATGCCAATCGGTGCCGTTTGGTTTCGTATGGTATCGTGCCATATAATGTTATGCTTCGTCGTATAGTGCCACATGTCATCGTAGGTTGTCAGATGAAAAGTGTAATTTGGTCTCATCCTGGATGTGCAATCGAATCATCCGGGGGCATCTGTGGCTAGACATTACACACAGCACGAACAGATGCGTACAGAACAACAACTTGTCACCATGAAGCACTCCTCGACATGTTTGTAACTCACTCCTACAACTCACTCTGACAGTGGTTTTGGTATGTTGCTGAGATCAGAGGGATATAATACTACTTATACAAAGGACTATCGGAACAGAACCTCTCACTGTCATATCCAAGGAAATACAACAAAAACATGCGGCATGTTCCAACGACCGACACATTTCCATTGAGCATTCGTTACTCGTGTAGTATACTCGCACAAGCAGAACAAATGCGAAATTCTTGTCCGTCAGCCAGAGCACTTTTAGTGTGCTGAATACGGCGTGTGTAACTTGATACAGAGGGGTGTGAAATGGCACATATCCTATAAGATCACGTGGAAGATACACGCAAACGCTTTAAAACAGCAACATACTCATGCGGGCGCTTGACCACCAATCCCGTCAGGCCCCCATATATGAGCGGCAGCATATCAGTTTCGAACTAATTATAACTGGAGGTTGCAAACATATACAAACTCCTCACCCCCCAAGCAAACCATAGCGTACACACACACAGCATGCCATGTGCAACACACCTTTTGTGGGCATTCGCGGTTTTATGCGGTGGCTCGAAAAGCGCAGTTTGTCATTCATCAGCCGAAAGAAACTGCCCTTGTTTTTAAGGCTCAGCCGATTCATCTCCATCTCGTGTGCCAATGAGCGAGAAGCAAAGTACATACACATGACCACGCCAAAATCAGTAAGCCAGTACCTGGTATTAGCGTAATAAGTCCAACATAAAGTAAATACAACCAATCGAGTGTCAGAATCGGGCGATCCAGGAGTAGCATTCAGAAGGCTTCTTGCTACGAAAGAGGTGGGAGTATGTAAATCCATGACTGTACAGACAGGTCAGATGAACACGTAAACGATATATATATATATATATGTGCACACACACACACACTCACACACACACATATATATACATACATACATACATACATACACACACACACACATATATATATATACATATACACACACACATATATATATTTATATATATATATATATAAATATACATATATAAATAACATATACATATATAAAAATACACACCACACACACGCACACAAGCACACACATATATATACATATATAAATATATAAATTC